GGCTCGTCTCCTGCAGCACCGCAACACCAGGGGGCCAGCTGGTAGTGGCGGCGATGCTCCCACAAACCAGATGAATGGGACAGCCCGGGCTGACTCCAGCTGTTGCAATGCGCTGCAACTCTATGCACAAGCTGCCCGCCAGTTTCAGTGCATGCAGCGAGCCCCCTGCATCAACAGCGCTGCACGCCCGAAGGCTGTGCCCACCGTCGGCAGCACGGCGCCGCCCGTCAAGGGCCTGCTGCGGTCGCCCTCCAGGCGTCCAAACAGCGAAGGCACACGCGAAAAGGCGCCGCCGCCGTGCACGTCAGTGAAGTAGCCCCGGCGGCGCAGCGGCGAGGGTTGCGGCAGCGCGGGGCCTGCCAGGGGTGTCAGTGGCGTGGCCGCCGCAGCCTGGACAGCCCAGCAAGCAGGAGGTGGGAGAGCAGCTCAGCACGCCGGCGCAGCTTGTAGCACGGCTTGTGGCAGCAGGCAAACAGAAGCAGCACGGCCCTCTCCCTGCTGCATTTCTTCCCACCTGGGCCTGCTGCCGCACATCCAACGTGGCCACAAACGGGCTAGCCACTGGCGACCCGCTCGCCTCTGCCGCCACCGCCGGCGGCGGCGGAGTTTGTTCCATCTGGCTGCTGCCTGCAAGCCTCAACAGCAGCAGGTCTGTGATGCTGCTGCCATACTCGGCCGGGGTGCCCGCAAGGGGAGGCGGGCGGGGCGCTACACGGCGGGGAGCAGGAGCTGTTGTGTTGGTGCCGTGGGGCTCTCGGGCTGCTCGCAACGCCTGTCCCTTGGTCTAATGCTGCTCCTGAAGCTGGCCAATGCTGGGCAAGGAGACCGTGTGGCCTTCATGCGCCTTCATGCGACGCCAGGTTGGCTGTCAGAAGCGCGCCCCTTCGTTGCCTGGCTCTTCTTCACGCCCTCCAATCCATCCGCAGCCACTCAAGTCTCCGTCTTGCGCCCCGTTGCCGCCGCCAGTGAGCCCCGACAGGCGCCCCCCGCCGAACTTCAATAGCGTCCATGTCCGCCCCCTTGGTGAGAGGCTGCAGGAAGGGTGCCGGGACGACGCGCTGCGGGCCGCCGCGCCGCGCCGCGCCGCAGATCACTTGGTGGGGAAGGATTGGCGGGCCGCCACCCGCCGCCGCGGCAGGCTGCCTCCACCCAGCTGGCCGCCGCTGCCATGCTGCAGGTTCCCCAGCAGCAGCAGGGCGAGCTGAGCGAGGCGGAACAGGAGGCGCTGCTGCGGGCTAAGTATGGCGGCATGCTGAAGAAGAAGCCACTGCTGCCAAAGGACCGCAAACACTTTGACTCGGCAGACTGGCAGCTGGCCAAGCAGGGGGTCCCCACGGTGCAGCCGCAGCTGGAGCCCAAGCTGAACCCTTCAGCGCCACCGGCGCGCCGCTCCTCCCAGCTGGGTGACGGCCAGTAGCGCCGGCGCCGGTTGAGCTGCAGTTGTACCCCGCACCCGCCCTGCCCTTCTTGCGCTCCCCTCTGTGCCATTCGCCTATGCTGGTCCCTGAGCTGCGAGCTATGTGCGCATGCGCCACATTCCTTGATTTTCCCCTTGCTTATTCGTTCCCTCTGCTCCTCACCCCAAGGCGGTCCCTGTGAATCTGCCCCTCCTCCTCAAAGCTGGTGTTTTACAGCCCAAGCGCAGATTGGCAAGGCGGCTCGGCACGTCCACAGTGCCCCTCAGCTGCCACGTCCACAGTGCCCCTCAGCTGCCTTTGCTGGCCAGCAGCTCATCCAGCAGCTCCTCTTCATCCTCATCGCTCTCATCTCCATAGTCCAGATCATCCTCCTCCTCCCCTGAGGAGCCCCAGTGCTCCCGCGCATCCTCCCCATCCTCCTCATCCGGCTCCAGCTCCGGCTCCTCAACCTGGGGCCAAGCACAGCAAGGACAGGCAGTGAGCCACAGCCAGCGCCCTGCATGCAGGCTTCCGCCCAGCTTGGTGGCAGTGCAAGGCGCGGCAGCGGCGGGCGGCCCCACCTCCAGGTGCTGCTCCTCCTGCTGCCGGAACCACTGCTTGCCGGTGGGCCGGTTCTGCTTGTCCTCCGCCTTGCCCTCAACCAGCTTGGACCGCTCCAGCGCCTGCTCCGCATCAAACTTGGCCCTCCACTCGGCAAAGGCCTCGGGCGTGACGGGGTGCCCGTGCGCACGCAGCTCCGCCAGCCGCGCCTCCTCCGCCTCCCGCCGCCGCTTCTCCTCCGCCTCTGGGTCGTGCGAGGGCACCGCCACGCTGGACGCCTTCTCCTGCAGGAGAGCGCCCCAGCAAAGCAGCCACAGCTGATCAGGCGCTCGCTGTGCTGCCACGCCTGCCCCCGCTCCTTCTGCTCAGCCGTCTGGCCCAGCTTGGCAGCGTGCGGCTGCCGTGCCAGCCCACTCACCTGCACCCACTCCTGCGCCGTGGTGACCAGTGTGTAGATCATGGCCATGCCCAGATTGTCCTGCACCGCCTCCTCCAGCACCCCCTGCAGCATGCTGACGTCCGCGTCGCTGATGCCCTGCAGCCTGCAGCAGTGAGGAGGTGTGGCCAGCGTCAGGGGAGTGATGAAGGTCTGCTGCGGGCACGGAGGCATGAACCAGGAGCGCTGGGCAGCGCTGCGATGCTCAGGTGGCTGCGCCTCACCCTCGTGCTTTGAGCAGCGGCGGCTCGTCTGGGTATGTAGGCGTGTGCGCAAACACTATCTCCACTTTCACTGCAGCAGCCAAGGCACACACAGCCATGAGGACGAAAGCTGCGAAGGGAGCATAGGGTGTGAGAGCCCTGGCAGCGGCATTGGCGTGATGGAGGCAAGCCTGTGAAGCCGCTGCTGCAACACCTGATGACCTGCTTTGTGGCCCTCACTCACATGGGTACTCCATTTCTTCCCCTTCCTCCTCCTGCGGCCCGACAACCACCCGCCACGCCGACCCTACCAGGCTCCAGCCTGACGGGATGCTGTCTGTCACCTCTGCAAGGCGCGGATCAGCGCGTCAGTGGTCAGTTAATTTACACAACTGCTCAACTATGTGCAACTAAGGCCCATAAGCCAGGAGCAGGAGTCCTAATCGCTGCTCAGCGGAGGCGATGGCGGCGGCGGCGGCATGCCCCGGCTGGCGGGCCCACGCCTCCACCTTGCAAGTCGTCCATGAAGATGCTGCTGAGCGCCTCCAGCTCATCCGCTTGCTCCTGAGCGTAGTCAGTCATCGCTATTCACTGTCCCCCGCCTCCTGGATGCTGCACACCGCACTCTAGCTGCTGCAGGTCACGCTCAGGCTGGCGGGTTGCGACTTGACGATTGTCTTGGGCGGTTTGGTGCATGCCTGCGGGCTCTGCGTCGCCTTCTGGGCCGCCCGACTGTACCGCCTCCTGCAGTACATTCATGAGTTCTTCGTCACCGGAGTCTCTGGAACCCGCCTTTTAGTCACAAACGCAGTGCCGTCACAGCTTCCTTCCCAGTCACCCAGTCACGCAGACGGCAACACAGTCGGCAGCCTCGTGAGGGCGCTTGGGGCAGGCAAGCCGCGCTGTGAGGTGGTGTCGCAGAGCCGCAGCGCAGGCCGGACCCGTTGGCCACCCTGGGGCACGGCAGGGGCTCCATCACCTGCCTCCCATCACCGCCGGGGCGGCCGCCAACCGCTGCGACTGCTGCCTGCAGGGGGAGTGGTCCTCTCAGCCCCTGCCTGGGGCGGAGCAGGAGGATGGGGGACTTCAACCACGCGTTGCAACTAAAGTACGAGCAGCAGTGCCCCGACTGCGGGCAGAGCGACTTTGTGGAGGACCACGCCAGCGGCGACCTCGTGTGCCGGGTGCGTTGCGTTGCAGCCTGGACTTATCCCCGCGCCAGCCCCCACTGCTGGCTGGGTGGTTGCCTGCCGCAGTGGCATGCCAGGAGACACCCACAGAACCGCGTAGCCTGGCCCCTGCCCGCTGGCCGGGCTGCAGAACTGCGGCGTGGTGGTGGAGGCTCACGTGATAGATGAGCGGTCAGAGTGGCGCACGTTTGCAGACAAGGTGCACAGTGGGGGCTGTGGCTGCTCCCCTGCTCGGCTCGCACTCCGTGCTGCTTGCAGTCCTCGGATGCTCACACCACCTTTCAGCTCCCCTGCCCACCTGTGTCCTCCTTCTCGCCCCGATGCAGGATGGCGGCGCGGGAGCCGACCCCAACCGCGTGGGCGGCCCCGTCAACCACCTGCTGTCTGATGGCGGCATGTCCACGATGATCGGCGGCGGCAAGGGCGTGGACCACGCGCTGGTGAGGGAGGCAGGGGGCTGCTGGCCGGCTGGGGATGGTGTGTTGGGGGCGGCGCGGCGTACCGTGGCGCCGCGGGCTGTCTTCCTCTGTCCAGGCCCCAGCAGCACCTCCCTCTCCTGGGGTCGCTCCTGCTGGGGCGTGGTCAGCCCCCGCCCCACCTGGCCTGTCCTCCTGCCCCGCCCGCCCTTTCCGCCCGCAGGTGCGCAACCTGCAGCGCATGCAGGCGCGCACCGAGGTGACGACAGACCGCGCGGTGATTGCGGCGTTCCGGGAGATTGGCAAGATCTGCGCCGCCATGAAGCTGCTGGACACGGTGAAGAAGCAGGCGGAGGAGTTCTACAAGCAGGTGTGGTGGGGAGGCCTGGCTGAGCAGGCGGCTTGGCTCGGGTGTGGGGGCTGCAAGGAGCGGCGCTGGTCGCTGTGCTAGCAGGCTTGCTGCCTGCGGCCGTGACGCTGAGCTTGCCTGCTGCACAGCCTCCCTGTACCCCTCCCACCCACCCGCTCACCGACCCCACCATTGTCTTCCACTGTGCACACACCGGGCAGGCCTATGACAACGCCAAGTCCATCAAGGGCAAGAGCCAGGCGGCGGTGCTGGCTGCCATTGTGTTCCTGGCCTGCCGCCACACCGGCAACCCGCGCACCTTCAAGGAGATTTGCGCGGTGGTGCCGCAGGCCAGCGTCAAGGTGCGTGGGTGTGTGTGTGTGCTGGCTCATGTGTACTGGGTGGGGCGAGGGCCAAGGCACGGCTCCACGGTGCCCCCGCTCAGACACACTCAGCGCGGTGCGGCTGCCCGCTGCGGCTGCCTGCCAGCCGGCAGGCTGCCAACCGCTGCTGCATGCGTGCTTGCTTGGTGGTGCCTGCCCCCATGCAGGAGATTGGCCGCATCTACAAGTCTGTGGTGCGGGAGCTGAAGCTGGAGGAGGCGCTGGGCAACAAGCAGCTGGAGGGCAGCCACCCGCACTCGTACATGCGCCGCTTCATGAGCCAGCTCAGCATGACGCCCAAGGAGTACCTGTGGGGGGAGGCGCTGGCGCTGGCGCTGCTGCCGCAGGTGCCTCCCGCCCCCCGCCAGCCTGCCTGCTCGCCTTTGCTGCTGCCCGCCTGCCCCACCACCCCAGCGCTCGCGCCACCCCTGCTGCTCTCCGCGCCCTGCCCTGCCCTGCCTGCCGCAGGAGGGCCCCGATGCCAACGTGCACACGCCCTGGCACGGCAAGAGCCCCACCTCCATCGCCGGCACCGTGGTCTACATCATCGCCAACCTGCCCGGCAAGACGTCGGTGCCGCTGCAGGACATCTGCCGCACCTGCGGCGTGGCTGACGGCACCATCCGCCAGATCTACCGCGAGATCCATCCCCACCTCAAGGCGCTCATCGACAAGGCCGGCAGGTTTGCCAGCCACGCCGACGTGGAGAGGCTGCCGCAGCCCATAGAGAGCACCAGCCGACCCTTCTGACCTTAACTGACCTGGCTGACGTGGCCGTGCCGACTCTTTTCGCTTTAGCTCCCCACACTTCCCTTGACCCAATCGTGCCGACCGGCTCTCTCGTCCCGCTCGCCTTTCTCTGCTTGATTCTGCTGCTAGATGCTGCCCAGCTCCCTCTGTGCCGTTCCTCGTGTCAAACGCCATGTCACAATGGGCTTAGAATGAAGGAGTGATGGAAGAGATGAGAGGGCAGGGCGCAGAGAAGCGCGAGACATGCCTCAGCATGCAGAGAGTTAATCAAATACAGGGTGCCAAAGAAATGCAGTAGGCCGGGGGCTGAGGAAAGGGGAGATGGAGGAAAGGGAATTTGGGGGGCTAATCCGTGTTGCAGGGACCGAGGGAGGGCGAGTGCTTGGGGGCGATGCATTTTGAGTAAGATTGAGTGTGGCTTGGTGGAAACTACAGCGGAACAGAGGAGGTACACGGTCATAATATGCTGGAGCATTCGATGCATACATGCAGCTGCCATACGTTAGGCAACTGTTGAGTTGGGGTGGCACGGCGGTGACCAGCCGACTCTGGCTGGCACCTGACTGGCGGCGCTTCCAAGCTGCATGCCTTACGATGCTGAGGCGCTGATGCTGACGGTGCCGCTGCTGCTGGACGAGTGCTTGGCGCTGGGCACGCGCATCAGCTGCTGCAGGTGCTGCGAGAGGCCCTGCCGCTGCGCCTGCTGCTGCTGCTGCTGCTGCTCCTGCTGCTCCCAGTCCAGGAACAGCACTATGGCGGTGATGTCGTCGGTGCGCGTCTCCTTCTGCAGCCACAGCTTGTAGGCCTGGGCCACCAGCGCCTTGGCAGCGTCATACGGGTTGTCGTGGCGGGAGACCTGCAGCAGCAGGGGGCAGGCGGCGCGGTGGGGCAAGGATGGGGGTGGGTGGGCTCGCCAGCGTCGTCTTGGGGCCCAGCCAGTGCACAGAGTGCGCGAAGGGCGGTGGCGCGCGCAGCCGCGTTTGCACAGCGCTCATGGCATGCAGCAGCGGCGGCCACGCACCAGCTCCACCGCCTGCTGCGAGGTGATGAACTCCCACACGCCGTCTGAGGCCAGCACCACAAAGCCGTGCTGCGGGCCCAGCTCTGTGGCGGTCAGCTCCGGGTCGGCAATCACGCCGATGCTCTCGGCGGCTGCAGGTTGGAACGGGGAGGTGGCGAGGGCGCAGAGTCATCTCAGGCTGTTCAGAGGCAGGTCCTGCCGCGGCCTGCGAAGCAGCTTGCGCAGGTCCCCTGCACATGTGCGCTGTGCTGTATCAGCCCCTGGGGTGAGGCGCAGCCAGCCACCCACCCGAGTCTCCGATGCTGCGTGTGAAGGCGGTGCCTGGGAACATGCCGGCGGGCGACCAGAGGCGAGGCGGGTCGCCGTCGCAGTCGGCCTCGTTAGTCCAGCAGGGCAGGGAGGGGTCTTTGAGGCCCTCCAGCTGGTCCAGCGTCAGGACCCGGGCCCCCGCCTTGAGCACGCGCAGGCACTCGTCAGGCCTGCAGGCAGGAGACGGCGGCGGCGCACCCTGGCATGCGGTGAGCAGCTGCTCCAGCGCTCGCCCCCTTCCGGCGGTGCCGCGGCTACAGCCATGCCGGGCCTGCCTCCCTGCCCGCGCACGCTTCGGTTCATCCGGCCTGCGCCCTGCCCCAGCAGCCGATGGCCATGCAACGTGCCGCCCTGCGCCCGCCAGCCCCCCTCCCGGGCGCACCTGAAGGGCGTCTGGTCGTGGCTGAGCTCGCGGGCCACGTAGGCGGTGGCGGTGCCGCCACCCGGCACGCGCTCCGCCAGCACAGCCCGCGAGTCGCCCACGTTTGCCACGTGCAGCATGCGCCCCGCCACCAGCATGCAGCATGCTGTGGTGCCGCTGAGCGAGTCGTCGATAGGTGCGGCGTGCAGCTGCTCGTTGGTGGCAACCAGGGCGGCCGCCAGCGCCTGGTCTGGGCTGGACACCAGGGCGCCTAGATCGCGGCACAGGTTGGCGGGCAGCTGCGGGCAGGGGGGGTGGGAAGGGGCGAGGGGTGGGCAGGTACACAGGGGCTGGCCCAGGGAGGGACCTAGGCACCGACAGGACCTAGCACCGACAGGATGTGCCGATGGCCGTGCGGGGAACAATTCCGCGAGGGTAAGCTGGGCAGGGGTCAGGGAGGCAGACCACCAGGCAGGCGGCAGGCAGACAGGCGGCAGGCAGGCACCTTTTCTTGCGTGAACTGCGCGCACTCGGTGCCCAGCTCGCCGTGGCCGTCAAACACGCCAAACAGGTGCGTCTCTGCGGGGCCAGGCGGGAGCACACAGCGAGCCCTCAGCACCCCATCTGGGGCTGTGAAGTAGAAGCAAAGCAGTGCAGTCCTGTGGGTCGTTGGCGGCGCCCTGCAGATGTTGCAGGGTGCCGGTAACGCAACCCGCCCACTCAGCCGCCTGCCCACCTGCACTGCCGCCCAGCCGCTCCGCCGTGCAGGCGTCCTGGTTGGTCTTGTCCGGAGAGTCGGGATAGTATCCGCGCTGGCTGATGAAGGCATAGCGCAGCGTGAGGCCGGCACTGGGCTGCCGCAACGCGACGGTGCCGTTGCTGGCGACCAGCCGCTGCGCCTCCTTGGAGGCGGGGTCGGAGATGAGCTCCGTCTTGTAGCCGGCGGCCACCATACTAGCACGCGGGCCTCGCCGCCGCATCATCGCGTCGTCTGCCACCGTCTGGGACAGTGTGCTGGAGGCGCACCCCATGTGTAGAAGCTCTTATGAAGACCCCCCCACGGGTCGCCCTGCGGTCCGCCGGAACGTCTGCCTGTCCTTCTGAGGTGTGTCTGGGGCTGTGGGGCGGGCTCGGGGGCGCGGCCGAAAGCGCGGGTCTCAGGAAGGCGCGTCAAAAGGTGTGCTGAGGCGGGGCCGTTTGCAGGCCCACTGGTGATGCGCTGAGATGGTCTGGGAACGCAGAAGGGAGCAAAATAATAAAGTCTGTGTGGTCACCTAACGCGTCCGGCCTCCTCCAACGCGTCCTGCTGCGCAGTGGTGTGGCTCCTCAGGCCCCAGCAGCCGCATGGTTTGGGCGGCACACTGGCTCAGAAGAAGAAGTCCTCGAGGCCCAGCGCAGGCCGGGAAGAGCAGCAGTGCGTGGCGGCGGCAGGCCAGAGTTGCAGCAACAAGCGCGGGCGGCCTGCCAGCTGGCGGCGTTTCACGGGGGGCCGCAACCACGGTTGGGGGCCAAACCAACCAGCTGCTTGGAGGGAATGCCACTCAGGGCAGTGCGCAGTCGCATGGCGACGCTGTTGGCTGGTAGGGGGCGCTCGAGCTGCACCATGCGGGCACGAGGCGGGCACGGCAGCCGGCGTAGCCGGCAGCAGGTTGCAAGGAGGCCATGCGCCCCCATCAGGCTGGGAGGACGCGTGGGAGACTGCATCCCTTGCCAATTCAAGGGTGAAAGTCGGCATGCAGCAACCCCACTTCCCCCACTTCACTTCATGCGGGCCTGGCACGCTGCTCATGCGCCGCCGCTGGCGTCTGTGGTGCGCACGCTCCCGCTGAGCATGATTGCAGGAAGCAGCCCGCAGCAGCAATCACGACATGAATTCATTGTTACCACTCCATCGACCCCTCCTGCAACAGATGGCAACCAACATGCCGCGACAGCAATGCCGGGCCCAACTGTGGACCGTGTGCCAGCCAGCCCCAAGCTCACTCTATCGCCCTGTATTTGTCTCTTGATCCAGCCTAGCTCCCTGTGGCCATTTTCGGAATGCTCGCGTGGCAGCCACGATGACCACAGCGCCCTGGCTAAAACCCCAAAGCCGCACCCCGCAGCCCAGCTTGGAGTGGGCGGGGAGTGTCACCATGCTGAGGCGGACGGCAAATAGCGCGCTGAGCGCGCTGCAGCGCCTGGGGACCTCCTCTTGGAACCAGGGCAGCGGAAGGCTGCTTTCAACTGGCTCCTACCAGATCTACGACCATTCGTATGATGCGATAGTGGTTGGTGCTGGTGAGCTGGGTCATCCGATTTGGAGTCCCCCGCCGTGGAGGAGGGCTGCAGGGCGTTGCCGGCCTGCTTGCTGGCGGTCCTTGGACGCCTGGGGAGCAGGCTGGGGTGATCGGGCAGGGTGCTGGCTGGAGCTGGCACTGGTGTGCCTGGGCCCCGCCGCCCCCACCGCCCGTGGCCGCCGGCTTGCCGCTTCTGGCGCCTGGGGCGATCAACCCAGCACCGCGTTGTGTGTGGCTGCAGGTGGCGCGGGCCTGCGCGCGGCGGTGGGTTTGTCTGAGGGCGGCTTTAGCACAGCGTGAGTGGCAGGCAGGTGGCGGCCCTTGCCCCTATGCCAAAGGAGCTCCCCGTGCCTGGCTGCTGCACACATGCACGCCAGCAGACGCTCCCCTGCTGCCGCTGCTGCTGCCGCAGGTGCATCACCAAGCTGTTCCCCACCCGCAGCCACACCGTGGCAGCGCAGGGCGGCATCAACGCAGCGCTAGGCAACATGACGGGTGCGCGGCGGCGCTGCGCTGGGCGGCTGGCCAGGCG